TCTTTTTTTGATGGTATGTGTATGCAGTGCTTCCCTTGACTGGAGGGCAGGAGCACGCTATTCATCCTGGTCTTGGGATGCTCCAACCAAGGAGAATAGCCCCCTAGGTGACCCTGGTAGCCCGACATGAAGCTCCTGCAGGCTGGCTAGGACCCTAGTAAGTTCTGCAAGAGTGACCTAGTACCACTCAGGGCTTTATACTCAGTAAATCAGGAGCTCTTGACCATGGGAAGGGATTTCTCACTTATGCCCCTGTTATCCCATGATGGTGCAGCTGCATGGGAATAAAGTCCTCATGTGCCTCAGCTTCTAGGCACAGGCTGTCTCTAGTGCTTCTTATCCTTTCATTGGGTTGCAGCCATAGAGACCGACTCCTTCCCACTTTTTAGTCTCTGAGCCCCTTTCCCTGGCAAAGCGAGGGCTGGCTGATGATCACAAGGCACAAATCCCATTCCACTGCTGCCTGACTCTTAGCACCTTTCCCTGGCAGAGCGAGGGTCCCTGAGTTGAGAGCCAGCCAGGCACACAATTCCTAGTAGGCTGCAGCCTGAGACAGGGCTGCACAGGAGGAACAGGCTTCTCGCATACCCAGACATGCCGCATGGTGCACTGTGACAGCGTCTGGGGGGACAAAAGCCCCAGCAACCACCAAGAAAGGGTTTAACCCTGATTTTTACCCTACTTGCTCATTAACATTACAAACTGCTGCCTCCCAAAGGGGATGTCTGCTTTTGTCTTTTTGGAGTCTCTGGAGTTCCCTGATCTTAAACTCCAAGCAGGCTGTGAGATCTCCCTTCCCTGGGAATCTTCATGCCCATAGTTAATCCTTCCTGTTGTGGAGTTGCAGGTTTTAAGCAGGGGATTTGGCAGGGTCCTAGCATACTGATCTGACTCAAAAACATATACCCTATGAGAGCAAGGGTTGGCAGTTTACAGCAGGATAGTGGAGGAAGCCTACTAGACAGGCGCTGTACCAGAGGATTTAGAGCCTTAATACTCCAGTGATTGCTCACCTTAGAAAAGTTGAAATGAAGTCTCTTCTACACAAAAATGAATAAAAATTAGACAAAATGGTCAGGAGAAATCGAACCAACCATGAACCTGTTTCGCTGCCAGAGGCAGAAATTCTGGTGGCCTGAGCTGAAGGGCAGAGCTTAGTCCTCAGCTCTCTGGCAACAAATTGGGACCACCTCCAAATTTCACAGGTGAGAGATTACCCAGTCATTCTGAAGAGAGAAGTTGTGCAGCTGAAATCTGTTCTGCTGTTCACTCTGTGGACATTACTGCCTGACAACATTTTTTTAAATCCCCAGAATAATACATAAATGCTGTAGAAGAACATTAGCAGCCCGATATATAGAGGAAGCCGAATCTGAACTTAAAACCAGACTGAAAACATTTGCCAATATTGCAAGTGATGCAGAGATTGAAGAGCAAAGAAGTAAACTAAGAAACCCAGACAGATCTGAGAGAAAGAATCTGCCAAAATATAAAGTTGGGTTTATAGAGGAAGAGTCCATAGGATTATTAAGCAATGATGGCATAACAGAGACATCAACACCTGTCGGCTCAAATACATCTCCTGACCGTACATGGCCAAGTGAAGTAGAAACAAGCTTTGAGGAAGGCAGATCACAGGGTACTTTGGAAGAAGAAATCCAGTGTGTTTCAAAAGGACTGGTTTCTAATCCGCAAAAGTTTAATACAATAAACCACAAATTGTCTTAACTTCTCTGTGTGATGTAGGGTAAATTGTAAAGCAAAGTACTGATCATCTGTTGCAAAATATGGAGTTAAGGACCCTTCTAAAAATATTCATGTCCATAAAGATATTATCTTAGAGTTATCACTATTATTTTTTATCTACAATAAGGTGTATACTTTATAGTGATGTGTTCTGGCAGCTGGAAAAGCAAAAACTGTTTAAAAGATCAGCATTCTCCTTCAGGAGACAATTCTCCTTAAAAATGTGTAGCACTTAGCAGTTTTAGGAGCTCCATTCTGCAGAAGCATACTGAACCTTCCCTCCTCTGCAGAAGCATTAAATACTTTCTACAGATGTGTGTTAACATATATTTTCTTTTTTCATATGCAAGCTATTCAACCGTTTGATAATGGCTCCAAACTAATTACATTTCTTACTTTCTAAGAACTCTACAGAACAAAATAGAAGTTAATGTTTAACTGATATAATTTGATATTATGATACAATACTGTCATGTTACATTTTTCATAACCTCAATGCAAAGTACATGTACAGTATTTTAATATGTGCTACATGCTTTGCAGTGTGTATTATGCTCAGAATAAATTTAGAGAAATTTTAAACTCATGTTATGCCTGTTCAAAACTGAAGTTCATGTGAACAAAAATGATATTGGGACTTTAGCCGGTAGCAAATCCACTGGATGGTTTCAGTATTATGAAGGTGGGAAATGGTTTGGTCTGTTAATTTATATAATAAAAAAACAAGAATTTGAAAACAAAATTTGGGACAGACATCTTATCAGATAGTTCTCAGTATTCATTTAATATCATTTGAACATTTTCACAATGAGCTAAATATTCAAAATGCTGCATAACTGTTGTGCAGCTAAAATCAGTTTTTAATCCAGGGAAACCGAGAATTTCCCCTTAAACATGCCCTCTATGCCAAAAAATAAAATAAAATTAAGAACCTTTTATTTACTCACCATTTCATCAACAGTAAAACTAATCACATATAACACACATCAGGTATGCAGCTTAAATATTAAAAATATGTTCATTCAGCTTCTAAATTGGTTCCCTAATTTGTTTAGGAATGTCCAGTTTCAGATGTATTTGGATGCCCATAATTTCAAAACAGTAATCACGGAAAGTAAGCTGCCTCCATGCATTATAACAATAGCAGTAGACTTCAATGTGTTATCCAAGCACAAGGAGCAGACAAATATTGGAACCCCTTTTTCCAAACAGTTTTAAAATCAGGGTGATTCACACACTGGGCTCTACAATGACTCATACCTACCCTTAGAGAGATGGAGGAAGAAGCATGAAACAAACAGTGGATCCTGGAGACATACCTGTGCAGTGGATGAGCAGGTGTAATGCCTCAGAGGTGGTTGGTGGGTCCATTGTTAGAGGATTGTCGTTAAAACTGTTCTACAGATGTAACCTGCATTCATTCATCCCAGTGAGGGAATAGGTGAAGTGCACAGAGCTACCTTTTAGGGGTACAAATAAACTTTTCAAAGAAAATGGGTGTAGATAAAGTCAAATCCAGCAGAGCAAAAATAGATTATTGAATCCCACAAGTACGGCAGACTAGATTACCTAAAAATGAAAAATACATAGTTGAAACAATGCTTTACCTGATCCAGATGGAAGAAACAGTTTTGCAGTCTAATCTTCAAGTAGGAAGCACCTAGGCCCCGAGTTTGCAAAGAACTTAACCATACATAACTTTGCTCATGTAACCTGTTCCAGTCCATTCTTAAACAGTGACCAACAGGCTTGTTGAAACCCCTCAAATAGCAGTTTGTAAGCATTAACAAAAATATGATCTTAAGAAATAATTCCAAGGAGAATCCGTCCCCATGAAAGTTACAACTTGATATACAGCTGCAAAAGCAAGGCCTGCATAAATGTCAAAAGGATCAGTGGGCATGTATAGGCAATACATTTGGAGAACTCCGTTTGCTAGTTTACCTTCCTTTTCCCATCAAGAAATGTCTATGCAGATCCCCAGTGTAGGACAATGACAATACAATAAGTCAGGAAGATGACTGAAGAGTACTCAGTTAAAAAAAAAAATTGAAGCACCATTCTCCTGAACCAAGCATTGGCGCTAACTCCAACTTTGAGCTGTGGATCTAGCTCCAGCCACAAGAAAATAATGTTTTGTGAATGTGTCAATTGAGTCACGGTGGCCCAACAATGGGAAGGTACCACAATTTCTCATGTTTTTCAATTTTGCCTTGTGTGGTTCCAGTTCTTTATTTGACCAAACCAGATTTCCACTGATCTTGTGATAAGTGTCCTCAACCTGTAACTTGTCAAGCTCACCCGAAACCCATATTTACAGTCTCCAGATAATGCACTTTTTTCTTTCTCTGAAGGAGTCAAAAGTCTTGTAAGAGTCTAGAAAATCTTCCACAAAGTAGTAGTATACTTTTAAAATAATTATTTCCTTGTTTTGATCCAACAGTGTGGGGGAATAGCCTAATACCTTGTAGTTTCCTAGGAGTTTGACAGTCTATTGTTCTTCAAGATTTCAGAATAATTTTCAGCCTCAGTGAAGATGTCGTGAGATGATATGCTGAGCTATTTACTATCTATTCAGAGATCTTCAGTATTTGCTCATTCACCACACACTTTTAAAAAGGTGCATTATACAAACCATGGTTTGTGAACCTACAAATACTTGGGACTTGAATTCTGCTCTTACCAGATTGAATCTCTGGGAGTATGTTTTCTGCACTCTCTATCTCATTGAAGACTGTTTTCTTCATGGCTATAAAATCATACAAGTACCACACATGCTATTCCACAAGGAAAAGATGGTTTTATGGCCTCATCCAAATTATTTTTTTTAAAAGTGGTAAATAGATTTTCATATATATTATATAACTCCCCATTTTTCTGTAGACCTCATGATCTGTGTGCTGAAGCAAGATTATATAGGCTAGATATTGAAAGGTTGTTTGCTTATTTATTTGTTAACAAGTAAGGCATTCAAAGAAACCTTCCCAACTGTTTGCAGCTTTTGGTGAGAAGTCTAAAGTCCGAAGCCTTTTTAGTTCAAAATCTTGTCAAGTGGACTATGCTGTTATCAACACACTGGAAGACTCCCAGAAACCAATAGATTAACAGCATGTTCTACAAAACAATGACTGCAACAGTGGTTTGTATCAAGAGTACACTTATCTATATATTAGTCTTTCCAGTGATATTTGGTGGGCGCACTCAAGCAGACTGCCTACACGGGCATCCAATTGCCAGAAGTACGTTGAAATTTGCACTGAGCAAGAGGGTACTTTAATCAAAATATAGCATGCTCTTTTCACAACAGGCTGTACAAAAAAGACAAACACTTATAAAAGCACTTGGAGGTTTCAGAGGGACATGTCAGATTATAAAATGAAGTCAATGGGACTCTGCAGGTGTAAGAGCCTGACTGTGTCAATCTGCTTTGCAGAACTACACCCAAAAATTTTAAAGTTACTAGTAGGAGCTTAATTCTAGCGTAGATCTTTGTGCAAATCTCCAGCCGATAGGTGGAAGATCATCTGTAGACTGAGGATTATATCTGACTCTAATTTTGCAGACCTGGAACACAATAACAAAACAACAAATGTGATTCGGCTCTCCCCACGAAATGAGTTTGACACGCCTGCTATAAGGGGAATACAAAATGTTTAGACGCCAGTAGAGAGACAAAACTACTGTAAGAATCGTAACTTAGAATTTACTTACTTCGGTAAGTTTTAGAATCTAAACATAGCATAAATGTATATTTTTGCATTTAATTTTTTCTAGGAGCTATATCTGAAAGGGAACAAAAACACACTGAAATATGTGGAGGATTTTATAAAATTGCATATATATTTTTAAGTATACATGAGAAAATAAACATTCTTTTTATTAAAATAAAAAAGCTTTGATACATTTGCACTGAAAATATTTTTTTAACAGAAAATAATTGCTACAAACATGCTACAGTAACATACAAAAGGTTCAAAAAGTTTTCAGTGCCTTCTTTTAAAGTTCAACGTTTTGGCAAAAAAGTTTTTCTGTATAAACTTCAAAAGTTAGCTATTATAATACTGATACAAAACACTTCATGTAGATTAAGTTAATGTGCATACAACACAATAACTTTTAATGTATTGTTTGTATAAAATCAACATATTTAAAGTGTAAATTTCATTAGATAACATGCAAATACTGCAATATTTAAAATGGCACTTATAAATAGAGGCTTTATAATTTTGCATCCAATAAAAAAAATCAGATAGAATACATGGTATTTGCAATGTACAGAACTGTAGAAATGAATACATTTCTCCATTTCTTAACGTAAATAAGGTTCTGGCTTAGAAAATGATTGTCATTTTACAAACATGGGGCCCAATATCCTGCAAGCACTTAAGCAGGTGAGTAAAGCTACTCAAATGTGTAAGTTTGCTGGGGAGGCCCATGGCTATTTAGCTTTCTTCATAATAAAATACAAGATAATATATTCACACAAAAATTACTCAATTCGTTTTTTGGTAAATTATTTAAGTAGCAGCAATTTTTGTTTCTTCCAAAAATTGATGTTTAAAATAGGTGCATACTTGTCATAATTCTCAATGATATACATCTGAATAATAACAAAAAAAAAACACTTTTCAAAAATCACAATATGTTTGTTCACTGCTGAAAAATTTTGTGTAACAACAACTTCCTTTTCACAGAATCACAAGTTTAAAGATTTGTACAATATTTTTAAGGTATGTGTGCATAAAGAAAATGATTTGTGTTTGAAAAATCTTTTGACTAGTGATTTTAGTGATTAATAGGAGAGTTTTCTTTTGGATTATTTCAAATATTTTAAAATTCATTTTTAATGAAAAATGTAGTATATTAAAACCTTTTTCTGGAATTTTGTTGAACCAAACTGATATATATTTTTCTTTCTGGTTAAAATATATTTTGCTCTATTAATAGATCAGCAGTTCTGAATGTCCTTCGCAATATAGAAAAAATACAATAGGATATTTATTTTGCACATTTTCTAAGCAGTTATGTATTGTTGATTGATGCTTGCAAGGTCAATATAAGGCTCAAGAGCAGGGTCTGCAATACAGGCACAGCTTTAATAGAGGAAGAAGATATACTACAGGAAACTTGCACTTGGGATGTGATAAGTGCGGATAACGGCACATGGGATGCTAAAGTTGGGCTGTCAGAATTTATCAGCGACTCTATCTTTTCTGCTTCTTTATTGCAGGCTTCAATCTAGAAAAAAATCCCAACAGTTAGTTATTAAAATCTCTTCTCTTTATCCAGAAGATTAGTATAAACATTTAGGATGGTGAATAAAGTTTAGGATGGCAAAGCCACAAGCGAATCATACAGGTCAGCTTTTGAGAGTTTTTAAAAATTGTATTTTATGTCTCTGTCAGGTGCCTTAGTTACTTATGAATCCTACCATGGAAGCTTCATGGGGAGAAAATTATAAACCTCAAAAATGGTTCATCACAATTTTGTGATTTTTAAGGCCCAAAATCTCATCATAGACCAGAATTACAAAGCAGGGCCTCACACCACTGGAAATCATGGGATTTCTCTCCTGGTTCACAAGGTACTGCACTGAGGTCTATGGGATTAGAGAACCCCCGGAGAATTTTAGGAGGGTTGGTGCCCCCAGGCCTGGGAACCTTAGGAGACTCAGTAACCCTCTCAAGGAAATTTTCCTTTTTCTCCTGACAAGTCTTTATAATGTTCAGGTTACATTCTGAGGCCCTTTGCACAAGGACATGGGCGAGAAACTTACTTTTCTTAATAAAGGAAAACAAACAAACCAACCTTAGTTTTTCAGAAATCCTTTTCATAAACTCACCACAGATGATGCTTCACAACATTCCAAGTTCAGAATGTAATAACTTTTGAAAATAGACTATCTTGGGGTTTTGGCAAGGGGATATCTACAGGACAAACTAAATTTTATTTTCTACAAAGTAGCAAAAAATTTTTTTTTGATTACTGGTAAACAACTCCAATTTTAAGGTGTTAACTTAGAAACCACTTGTCTGATTCAATTACAATTTTATAGAAAAATTCTAAATAGTATAGTTTCAGTTCTAGTCTTCAGCCTGCCACTTTTAAAGCCAATTTATTTATTTTTTTGAGATTTTAAAGGTGGAGATGGAAGAGAAAGTTACTCACTCTGTGTAGTAACTGAAGTTCTTTGAGATGGTTGTCCCAGTGGGTGCTCCATTTTAGATGTTCTTGCACCCCCGCACTTGTAATCGGAGATTTGTGGCAGCAGTGCTTGATTGGGTCAGAAATGCACAGTCTCAGTCTTGCGTTGCTTCAGTTATCTAGCCCCGTGTGACCAACCCCGCCCCTTCCTCTCCCCCCCCCCGTTCCTTCTCTACTGCAGAGTATGTAATGTGAAGTAGAGGGGAGGTGAGAAGGTAGTGGAGCACCCACAGGGACAACCATCTCAAAGAACTTCAGTTACTGCACAGGGTGAGTAATCTTCTCTTCTTCGAGGAGTGTTCCTGTGGGTGCTCTACTTCAGGTGATTTCAAAGCAGTGCTCTTCAGTGGAAGGAAGGGGCTTCAGAGTTGAAGTCATGGTAGATGACAATACGGTAAGTCCAAATAGCACATCAGATGCTGAATGTTGTTCTAATGCATAGTGTTGTGTAAATGTATGGGCTGAGGCCCAAGTTGCCACTTTATAGATGTCCATAATGAGGACACTGTTAAGAAATGCTATCGAAGCCAATAAAGCTCTGGTGAAATGTGTGTGGGTGCCCACTGGGGGGTTGAAGATGCTTTTGACGATAGCACATGGAAATCTATTTGGACAGTCTCTGTTTAGATACAGCATCTCCTTTTGATCATTTTGGGATGGAGATGAATAATTCTGGTGACTTTCGAAAAGTCTTTGTTCTGTCTATATAAAAGGCGAGTGCCTTTTGGACGTCTAGGATGTGAAGTGAGGACTCTTGTCTATTCCCCTGGGGGGTTGGCTAGAAGGATGGGAGGTGAATGAGTTGGTTGAGATGGAAAGAGGAGGCAATCTTAGGTAAGAACTTGGGATGAGATAATAGGGTAACTTTATTTTTTAAGAATATCAAGTATAATGGATGTGCCAGGAGGGCCCCTAGCTCTCCCATCCATCAGGCGGACGTAAGGCGATGAGGAAGGCTACCTTCACTGAGCGGTGAAGTAGTGAGCACATTGTTAGCGGTTCAAATGGGGTTCTGGTGAGGCCCCATCATATTAGGTTAAGATCCCATGGTGGAGATAGGGTTCATATTTCAGGGTAAATGTTGAGGAGTCCTTTGAGAAAGTGCTTGGTGACTGGGTGAGCGAAAAAAAATAATCAGTAAATGTTGCATGTTCTGGTGGAACGCTGTGATAGCTGAGAGGTGTATCCTGATTGAGCTCACGGAGAGGCCCTATATTTCTTAAGTTCTAGTATGTAGTCTAGAATTAAAGGAGAGGGAAGAATGTCCTTTACTTCATCTGAGCAGGTCATTTCAGGTCCTTGGAGCGATAGAGTAGCCACATTTTGAGATGGAGTCTTTCTAGATTCGGATGAAGGAGTTGGTCTGCATCTTGAGAGAGGAGACAGGGTACAAGAGGAAGGGTGTGCGGTGTGCATGCTACCATTTTGAGAAGGCAACCACATTTGTCATTGCCACTTGGGGGCTATCAGAATGACTCTGGACTTGTCCAATGTGATCTTGTGTATTACCCAGGATAGGAGAGGGATGGGAGGGAAGGCATATAGGAGAGGAGTGTCCCATCTGATAAGAAAGGTGTTGCCCATGGAGTGAGGGCCCAAACCTGCTCTGGAGAAAAACAGAGCATTTGGCATTGTGTGCCATTGCAAAGAGGTCTATAGTTGGAAACCCCCAATCTTAGTATACGTTGTGTAGCATCCGTATGTCTAATTCCCACTCGTGGTCCTGAGAAAAGTTCCTGCTCAGTGCATCTGCAGCGGTGTTTTGGCATCCTGGTAGGTAAGAGGCTGAGAGGTTGATGTTGTGACTGATGCACCAGTTCCAGAGTAGCATGGCTTCCGTGCACAGGGAGTATGAGCATTCCTTCCTTGCTGGTTTATATAGAATATGCATGCAACACTGTCTGAGGATTTTTATGGTCTTGTTCTTGACCATATGAAGTCAAGCATATGAAGCAGGAAGTGGGAGCACATGTTGCAAATGGCTCGTAGTTCCAGTAGCTTTATATGCAGGAGGGATTCAGCTGGGGACCAACAGCCCTGGATAATATGAGTGTTCAGATGTGCTCCCCAACCTAGTAGTGAGGCATCCTTTATGATCATCACTGTTGGAGGGTTCAGGACAAAGGCAGCCCTGGCCCAAACATTGTCTGGTCATGTTCACCTTTGTAGGGAGTCTTTTACTGTGTTTGGTATTGTGAGGTGTTTGTTCATGCTGTGTTTGAATGGAATGTAGGTTGTCCGGAGTCAGGCTTGCAGACACTGCACGTGTAACCTCGCATGTTTGATGATGAATGTCGTTGCAGCCAGGTGGCTCAGCAGTTGTAGGCAAGTCCTGGCCATTAGCGGAGGGCTGTTTAGTGTTGGGGAGATCAGATTGGTTAGAGTAATGAATTGCTGTCGTGGTAGAGAGGTCATAGCCTCTGGAGAATTGAGTTAGGCTCCGATGAATTCTAATTTTTGCACTAAAGTTAATGTTGATTTTTGTACATTTGTAGGCCTAGGCGTGTGAAGAGAGCTACCTTGCTTCTAGCGCTCCTTGTCATGTCGATGCTTTCAGTAAGCAGTCATCGAATTATGGGAATATCATAATTCCCTATCTGCAGAGGTAAGCCACGACCACTGCAAGAATCTTGGAGAATACTCATGAGACAGTGGATAGGCCGAAAGGCAGAATTTTCTAGTGAAAGTGATCTGCTCCTAGAGCAAATCTGTAGAATCTCTGATGTGATGGATGTACTGTTAAATGAAAGTGTGCGTCCTGGAGGTCGAGGGCCAAGAATCAGGCCCTCCTTTCTAGTGCTAGAGTTATGGTTGCCAACATGACCATCTTGAAGTGTTGGGTCTTCACAAACGTGTTGAGTCTTCATATATTGAGAATGGATCTCCACCCACTCATTTTTTTTCTGGGTGAGGAAATAATGTGAATAGAAACCCTTCCCTCTGTGTTTTGTTGGTACCAGTTTTACAGCACCTAGATGTATGAGGTGGGTTACCTCCTGTCGCAGTAGATCTTCCTGAGAGGGGTCCCTGAAGAGGGATGGGGAGGAAAGATGGGTACGGGGAATGGAGATAAATGGGATGGAATACTCAGACTTGATTATATCTAGTACACAGCTGTTGGATGTGAGGGTCTGCCAGATTGGGTAAAAAGGGTGAGAATCTCTGAATGGCTGGGAGATGAGAGGTGTTTCCAGCACTTGAAGTTGTGGGGGTCTTGGACCTTCGACCAAAGTCTCAACATTGCTGTCTTGATGGCAGTGGTTGAGACATAGAAGGCTGAGGTGGAAGCTGTCGTCTCCTCGTGGATCTCTGTTTCTGCCCTTGTTGCACATATTGTCTGTGTCATTGCGCATAAGGTGTAGACTGGAATCTTTGTGAGGCATAATACTTGCCCTCCTTTTTCTTGTTCCTAGGCATGTAGATGCCCAGGGACTTTAACATCCCCCTTGAGTCTTTGAGTGTGTGGAGAGATTAATCTGCTTTGGCTGCAAACAATTTAGGACCTTCAAACGGGAGATCCTTGACCATCAATTGTACCTCTCTGGGGAACCCAGAGAGATGCAACCAAGATGCTCACCTCATCACTATTGCTGTGGCTACAGACTACATTGTGGTGTCTGCAGAGTGCAATGCAGCCTGCAATGCTGTTCTGGCAAGATGATGTCCTTCAGAGATTATGGTCCTGCACTGTTCTCTTTTCTCTGGAATGAATTCAGTACATTCTGACAACTTTGAGTAGTTTGAGTGGTCATATTTGACAAGTAATGCCTCGTAATTGGTAATCCTGAGGCGTAACGTTGCCAAGGAGTAGGTCTTACAATCGGAGAGATCTAGTCTCTTCCAATCTCTGTCATACGGTGTGTGTTTTGGGGGGGGGGGTGTTATTCTCTGCCCTGTTCATTTACTGGATCCACCACCAAAGAGTTGGGTGTGAGAAGAGGAACTCCATTTCCTTCACTGGCACATAATATTTGTTGTCAGACCTCTTGCATGTAGATGGGATTGTTGTTGGGGTCTGCCAAATCGATTTTGTGGGTGTCATAATCACGTCATTCATCAGTAGAGTGATTTTTGGAAGAGGTTGTAGGATATCTAATAGCTTATGTTGTTATTCCTGGACTTCTTCCAGTGAGATATCCAATGAGCCCATCATTCTCTTTAAAAGGTCCTGAAATTGTTTCAAGTCATTCCCCATGTTGGGAGGTGGGGGCATGATGGTGTCATCAGGGGAAGATGACAAAAAATTGGCTGCTGGTATCACCTCCTGGTCCAAAATCTCCTCCTCCTCTTTGGCCACATCTTCTGGGAGCTCAGAGGGTCGCCGGTACCGAAGGTGAGGGTGAATGACGTGCGCTCTCCCTGGGTGGGCTGGAAGGTTTGTGGTGTTGTGGGGGGTATGTCACGCATGGGATCCAATAAGGACCCTGAGGTTGAAAAGGCATCGGTGGCATCCCATGGGTGTCCATACCACTTTTGATCTTTGGGCCCAGTATAATAGCCCCTGTTCGGTGGTGGATCTGATCTGGTAGGTACACAGATGGGAGAGGAATAGTGAGAGGAGTTTATTTCTCCTTCATCCTCGTCTTTCTCGTCCCTTGATAATGGAGGAGCAGATCTAGATGGAGTGGTGAGACGGGTGACGTTGGTACCGAGAACAGGAGTTTCCGGCATCGAGGTCCTTCTAGCATAGGAATTGCTGCAGTGCTAGTAATATTGGTACCATTGAAGATGGAATGGTCGATACAGATTGCTTTGGTGCAGCTGTGAGTGTTGGTGCGTGCACTGAGTGTGTTATGCCGGCAGCAGATGGCGCCATGAGGTCTGCAGTGGTGCCGAGCTGCTCAGTGCCAAATGTTTTGTCTGCTCTAATGGTGCTGAGGCAGAGGGTTTCGATTTCCCCTTGCTGCCCTTGTCTGACCTAGCCTGCTTAGGTTCTTTTGCTCTTATGGTACCCACGGTACTGGAGGGTCCCACTACTTCGACAGTAAAGATACCAATGGAGTTTGCTGGTTTGGGGAACACGATTTCTTGGCAGATTTCTGAGCTGCAGAAGTTGGAGCCCAGTTTTTGGCCACCTTCTTGGCCAAGTGGTCTTTTGGGTGAGCCGATAAGGAAGTGCCTCTGTCAGCAGTCGGGGACCTAGTGGGTTCGGGGGGGGGGGGGGGGGGGTCTGTGATTTGGGCTCAAATGCTATCCGGAGAGACCTCTCCACCATGAGGAATTTGAATGGTAAGTCTCTCGCCTTCCTGGTTTGGGCTTTTAGATTGTGACAATGCAAGCACTTTTGAGGGATGTGTGTCTTGCCGAGGCAGCGAACACACTGCGAGTGCCCGTCTGACACCAGGACAGAAAGGGTGCAGGTGAGGCAGCATTTAAAACCTGGGGAACTGGGCATGAACCTCATAAAAGTGTTCCCCCCCACCCCAAGGGGAAAACTAATTATTCTAACCTACTAATGGCTAACAACAGAAACTTAATCTTCTAGTCTGAGAGAAAAAACAAATTTTTTAAAGGAAGAAAAAAATTAAACAGGAAAGGAAAGTTAGCTATAATCCAACAAGAACGAAGTCTAAATTGTGAAAAAAAAACCTATTCTAATAAAAGTAGGCAGAGAGGTGCTGCTAAGTGCTCTGACTCAAGCTAAAGGCAGTAGAGAAGGAACTGAGGGGGGGTTTGCCACACGGTGCTAAATAACCACCTGAAGCAGTGCGAGACAGGGACCGCGCATGTACCAAACCATGCGCTGCTACCACAAATCTCCTATTACAAGCACAGGGGTGCAAGAACACCTAAAGTGGAGCACCACGCGGACACTCCTCGAAGAAGAAATTGGATTTATAATGGAAATTTAGCTGCAGCATTAACTAAGGAATGTAAAAAAAACTCCATGGTCAGTAAAAGTAGATAAATTCAAACAGAACGCTAGCAATTATAGGTATCTTGATAGATGAGGCTAGACAACACGGCTTTGACGTAAAGCCAAATCCAGTCACAGTGTAAATTAATGTATCTTCAATGCAACTGATCAAATTCTGTCCACTTAGAACAGACTTAACTCTGGCCCATACAGGAAGCAAAACTGAATACACAAAATGAGTTTGGGAAAATAAAAAGGAAATTGGAGGCAGACTTTCCTAAACCAAACAATTTGAGGAAATGAAATTGCCCGAATAATATTTGTGTTGTAGAACGAGCAGAAAATGTGGATTCCAGTCTGCTGCTTCTTACCCACTCCCCCATTTTTTATTTTAAAGATTGACCGTCATTTTAAAATAATGCATGTTAATGCACAAAGTTAAGAGCATCAAATTGGTCAGCGTGAATCCTAAACCCTGAGGGAACTTCATTATAAAAACGTGCTGTCACCAGGGCAGGGAAAGGCGCTTAACAAAAATACAGGGGTTTTTGGACTTGCAGAAACCTAACCAAAAGGATGTCAGAATAAAGCAAGAGTTCTAGGAAAAAGAAATGCAATACATATTTGAAGCTTTTTTTTAAAATTGTAGTAGTTCTGAGTTGCTCCAAGCAAAATAGTATAATGGCTTTTGTGTGGGTTTACTAATCCACATATAGAGTTTAGGGTTGCCAGTTGTGTGTGTGTGTGTATGTCTTTGCTAGCACAAAGTAGGTGTGTCTCACACCATTATTATGCTGGGGAAACACACTGTGACTTGATGTCCTTTAACATATTCTGAAAAGTATTTGGGGACTTTGTAGCACACTGATAGCTAGTTTTGTAAGAGAGAGGATCCCCCTCTCATAACTGTGATGGTCCCAGAAATATAGGAGCAGATATTTAGCTGGTATGGTTCCATTGAAGCTATGACAATTTCCAGCGGCTGAGGTGGCAGCCTAATCCACATCTATATGTAACAGAGACAGACAATGGTATAACCCATTCATACACACCCAGGTGCATTTTTTAAGTAACAGACCAACGGCTCGATACTAAAAACGTATACTCCAAAGCACATTTATTAAATGCATGACAGTCACTCTTCTAAATATATTTTTTCTTTTTGAAATTTTAAATGAAAAATCTTTTGTATGTTACTCAATTGATCTATCTGCTATGCAATATAATTCACAGAAGGCTAAAGTATTGAATTTTATATTATTTTATTGCATTTGATTGTATTTAAAATTACAAAATACCACAAACTCCAGCAAAATGGAGCAGTGTAAAGTTTGTAGTATTTTCTCTTCCATGTGCTGTAGTCTGCTGTGTGCTCCAGCACACTCCGCTAGCATCCACAGCTAGAGCTGGATGAAATTTTTCAAACTTTTTTTGCTGAAAAATTCACACTTGGGTCAACCAAAACACTGCATGAATTCATGTCAAATTTGCCAAATTGTTTCAGCCATAAAAGAAAAAGAATTCCAAAAGTCAAAATGAAACATTTTGATTTATTAATTCAAAATGACTTTTAAAAATTTAGCTTCCATTTTATTTAAAAAAAAATTACTAAATGAAACATTTTGCTTGACCTGAAATTAACTTTATTTTTGATTCAGCACCAAACTGAAATACTGGTTATTTGAACAGCTATATTCAGAACCTCTTACAAAAACAGTAAGTGTTAAAATACATCCACTTTATCCTTATAATAGAAACGCTTAGGCACAAATCACCAGAGAAGTCTCAGAACAGTCATCATCCAGTAAAAAACAATGAGACTCGATTCCATTTTATTCTTGCCATCTTTCACTGTAGCTTTTCAAGTGTAAGTTGAAAGTAAAAATAAATGGTACATAGCACAGATTGTAAATATGACAACCTGTATTGAAATAAAATGGAACTGTATTGACTAACGAAAATAATAATAAATTCTACCTGCAATGGTTTGGGGTTTTGATCAACGGGTATGATGAGAATCACAATTTCAGATTCTATGCTTAAGTATCCAAACACGTCGCATTGTGGCACTGAAACATGTAGACGGATTTTTTGAAGTACTTCAAGTACAGTTATTGGCTTTTTATTGGTTACCTGGAAAAAAGATAGAGTACTTTATTATGCATGCAAAATGAAATTACATTTGTCCTCTTCAGAGTTGTAAATAATAAGGTTATGTCATACTAGAAAAGTTGTTTGAACATACTCTATTTTAAACCAAATTATCAAACCCAGTCTATATAAGCAATGAATAAGCTTTAAGTGAAGGGGAAGAGAACACTTACTTATCTTCCAGTAACTGTAGTTCAAGATGTGGTGTCCATATATTTCGCTATTGGGGCACATGTGCCCCATGTGCTTGCGACCAGAATCTTCTGGCTACACTGTCCATTGAGCCTGTGCATGCACCTCACTTAGTCTCCTTGTGCTTCTGTACTGAGGGCATAAAGGGTGGTGCAGGCCAACCACCACTCATTTTCTTCAACACTGTTGTAGTGGGGAAGAAGGGCAGGTCATGGAATACATTTGGACAACACATCTCAAAGAACTCCAGTTACTGTAGAGACAAAGAAAGATGCTTACAGAGTCCATCAGACAGCTGAAGCAGGTCTATGTGTCACTGCTGTCTCAGCCAAGATGGAGCAATCAGGATTATCCTTCCCCTGTCCTGACATATATTCCTCACCACCTTCTAAATTAATGGAAAGGGAGGGAAGAATACAGAAGGCCCTCTCCCTGATGCAACACAAAAGCATCCAATATGGACTGACTGTCCCTTCCCACTCTTGAACAGACGAGATGATACTTTTTGTTTAACCTGGTTGTAGTCAGGTCTACATCAGGTCAGCCCCAGATGGAGAAAATCTCTTGTGCCACTTGATACTTCAGGGATTACTCATGCACATGAGAACTGTCTCTGATAAGCCAATCTGCCAACATATTGCTCTTCCCTGCTAGATGCCCGAATAGATATTGTGAAGAATGCAACAGTCCCATAGACTGACTGCCTCAGCACACACCAGGGAAGAATGGGCACTTCTTTGTTTGTTGAAGTAATACATAATGGTTGTATTGTCTGTTGATACCTGAACAACCTCTCTCTTTATGTGAGGAAGAAAATATCTGACAGCCTCATGAATGGCTCTTAATTTGAAAACATTTATATGCAAATTCTTTTCTTGAGATGCCTGGTGGCCCTGAACTGTGAGCAAACCCTGCTGAGCTTCCCATCCATTGTCTGATGTGTCGGAGGTTATTGTGACAGATGGCAAAGGGGGTTTGAACAAAACACCTCTGAGAACATTTTAACTATCTATCCACCACATGAACAAATTTAGAATGTCCTGAGGCATGGTGACTGACATCTGAACACTGTCCAGATTCAGTTTGCAAACCTGAGCTATACAGTGCTGCGCTGACCTCATTCTGAGGCATGCAAATAGAATAACATAAGTAGTCACTGCATAAAAACCATCAGACCCAAAAAGAAAATCAGTTTCTGGAGCTGATAGTGTCATATATCTAAAGCGCATTGCTCTCTTCCGAAACCTTTTTTTCTGGGAGGAAAGCTCTTCCTGCTACTGAGTCCAATACAGAACCTATTAAATTAATTCTTTGAGTCAGGCAAAGATTTTACTTTTTGACATTCAGAAGCAGTCCCAAATCCATAACGAGGGAGGTTGTAAATGTAAACTAGATCTTTGCGTGAAGACTTTAGCAGCCAAATTGTCTAAAACTGGGTAAACAAAGATAGCCTGTTTTCCGAGGTGCACCACTACTGTAGAAAAGCAGTGTTTTTGTAAAGACTCTTGGCACTATTAGAAAGGCCAAAATGGCAGGACCTTGTACTGGAACTGTGTTTGTGCCAACACAACACAAAGGTACTTCTGATGAGCTGGCTGGATAGAAATATTTAAATATGTATTGAGAGTTGTGAACTTATTCATAACTGAAATCAAGGGCTAATATAGAGGCTAGAGTTTGCATTCAAAACTGAAATTTCTTGATGAACCTATTTAGTTTGTTTAAATCTAAAATTGGACAGAACTCACCCCCAATCTTTCTTCTGAACCGGGAAATAATCTTCAATAAAACCCCGATCCCTCCCCACAGATGTTCAGGTTTCTCTTCCACAGCACCTTTTAGGAGAAATTTCTGAACTTCTGATAGGATAACCTTGTGAGAAGGTTCTATGAAAAGAGAAGGGTACGGGGAATTGAAAGGGGGTAACTATTATTTCTAGGACTCTCTTGCCTGATGTAACAAGCTTCCAATTGTCAATGAAATGGACCAGTGTCTCCAAACAAAGGAAGCGACATATCCTTGCCAACTGGTCCCCAAATCTTGATTCTAGTGTTAAATTGGAGGCCATGTATTATGCAAAGAGGAAGAGGAAGTAGCAGATTGCTTTGACTTAGTTCTGAATATGAACAGTTTCTTTTTAAGTAGAGACTGTGATGAAGATGTAGTTTGCTGATGTTTCAGCTGCAGATGAAGAGTCAGAAACATCAAAAGAAGCACGAGAGCATGCTTTGCCACATTTGACATCCTTGACATCAAACTGCTTTGATCATCTTGTAGTTCTTGTACAACGCAAAGCCATCTTCTCCCAAAAGGGAATTGGTAACAGGCCATCTGTAACTGGTAAATAGCCACCCTTATTCCTAGAGAAGAAGAAAAGAATCACCCTTTCCCCCCTCTTTATCTGCAGGAGTTGCACAAGCTTGACCAGACCTGAACCTATTACTGGCTGCAACAACTGCCAGAGAATTTGGCATGGGGAGAGTATGACAATACATAGGATCTGGCAATGCTAAAAGTGGCTGTCTTCTCCCTGGCCTTTTTCTGCAGCATCGACACAGCCAGAACGGTCTGATCATAGGCTCCTTAGCTGCCAACTGGACAGATGGAGCCTTCAACACCCTAAGAGCTTTAACAGAAGGATCTAATGAAACAGGAACAGGAGCCAGAACCAACAAAAACCCTGATCCACAGGATTCTTTAGTCACCTTAGCCTTACTAGATGAGGCAGCTGGAGCCAAAAAAGGCCTTTTAGTCTTCAGATCCAATGATCTCTTGGAACCTGATGCCTTAGCAGCAACAGCTTCTTTAAGCAGGGGTACCTGCAGTCTGTTCTGCCTCTCCTTATGCACTCTGGTTGCGAAAGTCTGACAAATAGAACACCCAGAAGAAGAGTGGCACTCAAGACATCTAAACGACAGCTGGCATGAAGTGCATCTCTTAAAATCCAGGTTCTTCTTCGGTTCTGCCATTCCATGTAACTGAACCCTAAAAGTAAACTAAACTAACTATAACTACAAACTACAAAAAGCAACAGAGGGTCCTGTGGCACCTTTGAGACTAACAGAAGTACCGGGAGCATAAGGATCCCTAACAAAGGATCAAATAGTCGGAGGGCCCCGGTGAATATTTCCTGCTGTTTTGGGAATCTGATGGGGAGAAAGAGCACTCTAAATCTAATGTGGTGGGCTTCTGAAGCTGGGGTTGCTAGGCTGCACCATTAGCTGAGATGTAACTAGCAGCCAGTACTGCCAAAGTAGAGGGCCATGAGCACTGTGGTTGGGATATTTAGTCCTGTAGAAAGCAGTGGAGAGTCTAGCTCATCAATGACAAGAAGATCCCTCAGGACCACGTTACTTCAGAATGGAGAATGACGGTGCTATAAACTTCAGTGCAGACAGTGCTGATGCACTCAGCATCAAAGCAAGTAGTACTGAAGAGATTGGGACCACAGGGGTCAGTACCAAAGTGCTTGGTGCCAAGGTAGTCCCTGATACTCTGGTATTCCTGAGGTGGTGCTAGAGTTCTGACACCACACTCCCTCAGAGCTCCAGTAATGCCTGATTTGAGCCAAGAAATCTTTAGATCAGGAGCAGTGAGGTGACTTGGACTTCATTTTACTGGGAATTTCTAGCAGCTCCTTTTCCCAGAGGAGCGATGCTCCTTCTTTCTTGTAGGTTCTGACACAGAGGAGGGTACCAAAGAGCCTGTCCCGGAGAGACCCAAGCTTTTTACTGCTTCAACAGAAATCACTGGAGTCCCTCCCTGATTCCATACGGTACCCATGCAGAGGAAGGGGAGAAGGAGAAGAGTTGAACCTTTATTATGACCAAAGTGAGAAGATGAAAAGTAATACACCTGCTCCAGTAGGTGGGGCTAGCCTTTCTGGTATGCTAAGATGCTCTTAAGCTTTTGTGAGTAAAAACTTCATTCAGTTGCATCCGAAGAAGTGAAGTGTTTACTCACGAAAGCTTATGCCCAAATAAATCTGTTAGTCTTTAAGGTGCCACCAGACTCCTTGTTGTTTTTGTAGATACAGACTAACACGGCTACCCCCTGATACTTGATAAGATGTTCTTGCATCCCTTGCATCTGGATTAGAGACATAGATGATGCCGATGTCTCAACAGCTGTATAGGTACTGTGGTTCTGGTGACTGGAGGTCTAGGTAGCACTGCTGACTGGGTTCACAGACTATTTTGAGCTTGTCTACAGTGCAGCTATACCACTACAGCGGCACTGCTGTAGCGCTTCAGTGTAGACACTAACTACGACGATGGGAGGGATTCTCCCATCAGTGCAGGTAACCCACATCCTGGAGAAGCAGTAGCTAGGTCGATGGAAGAATTATTCCATCAACCTAGTACTGTCTACACAGGGACTTAGGTTGGCTTAACAACACTGCTCAGGGGTATGGATTTTTCACATCCCCAGTCGACATAGTTAAACCAACCTAATTTTTCAATGTAGACCAGGCCTCTGTGCTTATAGACCTTTAGCTCCAAAAAGGGACAGTACATACAAAGATGCTGGCCACTAACATGTGGGAGCTGCAGGTACAGTACAGACCTGTTTATGCACGGATGTCGGGAGTCAAGCCATCACGACCGTGTGTTAATGGACTGTGGGTTAAGAGGGCCATGCTGAAAAAAGTGTCTATGATTCACTTAGAAAAAAACGCCATTATTTTCTGCTCTTTTTGGCTCACATCTTTCTTTCTTTCTTTCTCTTTCTTTCTTTCTTATGAAGTCTGTCATTTGCCGCAGATGAATGATTTCGATATTTTCCGCATT